ACCCATGAAAACACAGGCAATAGATAACACACAAGCAGTAAATCCCAAAGAAGAGAAATACACACACATTACCACCAAAAGAATAACAGGAATTAGCAATCACTGGTCATTAATATCCCTTAATATCAATGGACTCAATTCACCTATAAAAAGACAAAGACTAACAGAATGGATATGAAATCAGGACATCTACTTCTGCTGCATACCAGAAACACACCTCAACTTCAAAGACAGACATGACCTCAGAGTAAAAGACTGGGAAAAGACTTTCCAATCAAATGGACTTAAGAAGCAAGTCGGTGTAGCCATGCTAATATCAAACAAAATAGACTTCAGATTAAAATGAACTGAAGGAGATCAAAAAGGACATTTCATACTCATTACAGGAAAGATCCACCAAGATGAAGTTTCAATTCTGAATATTCATGTCCCAAATACAAGGGTGCCCACATATATAAAAGAAACATTACTAAAGCTTAAATCACACATCAAACCCCACACATTAATATTGGTAGACTTCAACACCCATTCTCACCACTGTACAGACCTGCCAGACTGAAACTTAACAGAGAAGTAAGGGACATAACAGATGTTATGACTCAAATGGACTAAATAGATATCTACAGAACATTCCACCCTAACAAAAAAGAATATGCCTTCTTTTCAGAACCCCATTGAACCTACTCTAAAATTGACCACATACTCAGTCACAAAGCAAATCTCAACAGATACAAAAAAATTAGAATAACCTCCCATATTCTATCGAACCACCATGGCTTAAAGTTAGATTTCAACAACAACAACAAAAAAAATTACAGAAAGCCTACAATCTCATGGAAACTGCATAATGCTCCATTGAACCATAGGTGGGTTAAGAAAGAAAGAAATCAAAGGCTTCCTAGAATTCAATGAAAATAAATGTACTACATACCCAAACTTATGGGATGCTATGAAAGCAGCGCTACAAAAATTCATAGCACTAAATGCCCACATAAAGAAGTTGGAGAAATCTCACACTAGTGACTTAACAGCACACTTGAAAGCTCTAGAACAAAAAGAAGCAAAGTCACCCAGAAGGAATAATGCCAGGAAATAATCAAATTGAGAGCTGAAATCAATGAAATAGAAACAGAGAACAGTACAAAGAATCGATGAAACAAAGACTTGGTTCTTTGACAAACTCAACAAGATAGACAAGCCCTTATCCAAACTAAACAAAAGGCAGAGAGAGAGAAAGAGAGAGAGAGAGCATCCAAATTAAGAAAATCAGAAATGAAAAAGGAGTATAATAACAGACAATGAATAAATCCAGAGAATCTTCAGGTCATATTTCAAAAACCTGTACACCACAAAATTGAAAAATCTAAAAAGAAATGGACAATCTTCTGGATAGGCACCACATGCCAAAGTTAAATCAAGACCAGATAAACAATTTAAATAGACAAATAACCACTAAGGAAATTAAAGAGTCATTAAAAGTCTCCCAACCCAAAAGAGCCCAGGAACAGATGGTTTCAATGCAGAATTCTACTAGTATTCCAAAGAAGAGTTAATAGCAATATTCTTCAAATTGTTCTACACAATAGAAACAGAAGGAACTTTACCAAACTCCTTTTATGAGGCTACATTTACACTGATACCTAAACCACACAAAGATGCAAGAGAGAGAGAGAGAGAGAGAGAGAGAGAGAGAGAGAGAGAGAGAGAGAGAATTAATGACCGATCTCTCTCATGAACATGATGCAAAAATACGCAATAAAATGTTGGCAATCCAAATCCAAGAACACATCAAAAAATCATCTACCATCATCAAGTATTCTTCTTCCCAGGGATGCAAGGATGCTTCAACATATGAAAATCTGTCAAAGTAATACAACATATAAACAAACTGAAAGAAAGAAAACTACATGATCATTTCATTAGATGCTGAAAATACCTTTCACAAAATCCAACACACCTTCATGATAAAGGTCCTAGAGAGATAAGGAATACAAGGAACACAACTAAACCTAATAAAGGCAATTTTCTGCAAGCCAACAGCCAACATTAAATTAAATGGAGAGAAACTCAAAGCGATTCCACTAAAATCAGGAACAAGA